CTATATGGACCTTTGTAGGAAGTAAGGCCTCTCTTTTTTAATATGCTGTCTAGGTTTGTACTGTTGTACTGTACTACTGTGCTTTTCAACATACTGTAATATAAGAATAAAAATATTCTCTTTATTTTTTGTCTTTTTTGTGTAATTTGTGTGAAAAGTACTATAAACATATTGCAGTGCAGTACCATATTGTGTTAGTTGGGTGCCTAGGCTAACTTTGTTGTACTTACATGAACAAATTGGAGTTATGAACGCACTGTCGTACCGAAACTTATTCATATGTATAGGACTTACTATTGTAACTGCTGGGGACTGGGGGTAGGGGGAAGTGGGGAGTTATTTTATAACAAGGGTTTTCAGTTTAGATTGATGAAAAGTTTTGGAGATGGATAGTGGTGATGGTTGCACAAAGTGAATGTACTTCATGCCACTGAACTGTATACTCAAAAATGGTTAGAATGGTAAATTTTATAATGTCTATATTTTACCACAACAAAAAATTAAAAAGTAGCCCAGTATGGACCAAGTCAGGAGGAAAAAGGGTATTTGACTCTGTATGGGTATCTAGGCCCACCACTACTCTAATATTTACCATTATGCACAATTCTCTCTGCCTTACGTTTAAGCCTGTATAATAAGTAATTAAGGACTTAGGTATGCCATGTGTCATTCACAGGGAGATATCATAAAGCAATGGCCCTGGCCTGTAAGAGCTGCGATTAGAAATGCAACCCCCTGCCTTGAGCACTTGAGGCTTCCTTCTGCTCTGGGATAAAAGACAAAGCTCCTTAGAAAGGCCGTGCAAGGCTTTGCCCACTCAGAGCCTGTCTTAGGTCTCCAGCACACCTTGCACCTGCTCACCCTTGCTGTCCCTGCTCTTCCAGTGAGGTTTTCACCTTCTGTATGCTGCTGAGGTTGTTTCTTCCTTAGAACACATTCTCTCCTCTCTCTCTGCTGAGTTAGCATTTTCATCCTGCAGCGTTCAGATCAACTGTTCCTCCGCAGCAAACATTTCCTCACCTCAGATCAGGTTAAGTCCTCTTGCTACATGTTCCAGCAACCCTCCATCCTTCCTTGGAAATGTCTTTATATTTTCTGTTAATTTGATTACTCTTCAGTCTTCATCAGATGATAAGCTCTAGGAGAACAGAGACCCTCTAGTTTTTCCTTACGTTGAATCCTGAGTTCATTGAGGGCCTGGCACTCACTTATAAGCCCTTCAATCATTACTGGCTAATGAATGAATGAATAGAAAGATAACTGACAATATCGAACTATTAATAAGTTAAAGATTCTTCTCCAGTTTTTAAGTCATTGATGCGTACTCTGATCATCTAATACCACACAGTCTTCTCTATGTAAGACAAGTGGAGGAAATGAAGATTATTCCACAGTAAGAGAGGTAGTACATTTTAGATTAACAGGTAAAGGAAAACTATTTGAGGTGGGGGTTCATTTTTACCACACTGCATTTTCTGTGCTGATTTTTCAAAAAAATTATAAGCCCAATATGAAACCAGAATGACACTTCTTTTAATTTCCCCACACTGGTAGTCATTGACTTGCCTTCATATTTCAGAGGAAATGCCATTGAATTCAGGAGAAATCTAACCTGCGTGGCATTCAAAAATTGCTGGAAAAGCTTAGTTGCTGTACACTGTGTTAAGCAGGTATGTTAAACACTTAACTGTATAATTTTCTACAGGCGCTTTTGGGAAAAACATTCTTTCTTCTTTCTCACCTCTTCTAGCAAACCTCATTATCCTTCTCGTGACCCTGTAGGCATCTCATTTTCCCTTGGCTTGTTTGCAAGTTTTAAAGTATTAACTGCATCTCCTGCTTCAGGAAGGGTTGCCTGGCTACTACTCTGCTTTTGCTGGGTGAATTCTTTTACTTCACCATCGCTACCTTGAATAATGGCATTTAATACATTTTCAAAGGAGCCAGACATAATTAAAAATCCCTTATCTTTATTAAGTATAGCAATAGTTATTCTCATTTGGAAGACCAAGGGGAATATAATGGGACAGTATGTATTAATTTTGAATAATGTGGAATCCAAATTAAAATAAGGTCAAAAGGGGTCAGTCACCATGGAATTGGGAGAAAGGAAAGGATGTCATGTAGGATACCAGCTTTTAAGTAAGATAGGAGTAAGGAAGAGTAAACAAGAGCAAAGATGCCCAAGGGATAGGCTATCAGCTTCATTTTGTCAGCTTTTAAAGTTATCTAGGAAAGGAAAACTATATAATGGTGGAAAGGCATTACACTATATAAGGGAAACTTTGTAGCTGATACTAAGGTCTATGAGATGGTAAAATGCTGAAGAATAATAACTTCAATAAAATTTATTTGGTGACTTTTTAAATTCTCTGGTAAATTCTAGGTTTTCAGCTCGACTCTGGATGGAAGGCATAATGTTGCATAAAACATTACCCCTGTATCTGGGGACCTTGAACTATTACATAAATGAACACAGAAAGGCATTTGGCTGCTGTGGCATTTCTCAAAGAGGCCTTTGACTGTGAATGTTAAAAGGGATTACAGCAGGACTTCTCAGAGCCTTGAATATGTTAATAAACACTGGGAATCATTTCTAAGAAGGGTGTTTATTATGGTTCCCCAATTTTTTGAAGATGTCATCTTGGTTTTTTGTCTCATTCTGCAATTGTGTGTGTTTTGGAAGGAACAGTTTGTGAACTTGTGAGATTATAGCCTGAAATACACTCTGGAAAATGCTGACATTAAAAAACAGACATGGGTTGGGCAATTAAATTGTTTTGGAAATTTTTTCATCAAGTAGTATATCAATTGCTTAAATCACTAAAAAGTGGTGTAGGACCCATAGTAGCTCTAAAATCCAGTTCCTCTTCATAGCAGCAGTATTCCTAACAGCTAAAAAGTGGCAACAACCCAATGTCCATTAATTGATAAGTAAGCAAACAACATGTAACATATCCATATCGTGGAATACTATACAGCCATAAAAAGGAATGGAGTACTGATACCTGCTACAATGTGGATGAACCCTGAAACATTATGCTAAGTGAAAGAAACCAGACACAAAAGACTGTGTATTATATGATTCTATTTATACAAAATGTCTAGAATAGGTAAATTCATAGACAAAGCAGATTCAGTAAGTCCCCTGTATGTGAATCTTGAAGTTGAGAACTTTCAAAGATGTGAACATGTGTCTCATCAGCAGCAGGCGTGAGTGAAGTTGCAGCTTGCTCTCAGTCTCCTTTCGCTGGCCATCGTTCATCTGTGCCATGTCCCACCCTCCTTCCCGCCTCCGGTCAGTAATTCTTCTTGCCTGTTCATCTGCTGCCAGCCCCTGTATGCCAGTTGTTCTACTCCTGTACTTTTCAAGGTGCTGCACTGTAAGATTTAAAATGTTGTCTTTATTTTTTGTGCTTGTCTTGTATATTATTTGTGTGAAAAATATTATAAACCTATTACAGTACAGTACTATGTAGTTGATTGTTAGTTGGGTACCTAGGCTAATTTTGTTGGGCTTACAAAAAATTAGACTTATAAATGCACTCTCAGACCAGAACTCATTTGTAAATAGAGGGCTGACTGTAGTGGTTTCCAGGGACTGGTGAGAGAGGAAAGTGAGAAGCAGCTGCTAGTGGGTATGGGGTTTATTTAAGGGATAAGGAGAATGTTCTTGAATTATATAGTGATGATGTTGAACAACCTTATGAATATACTAAAAACCAATGAATTGTATACTTTTAAAAGGTGACTTTTAGAGTATGTGAATTTTATTTAAATTAAAAAAAAAATACAGGACCCCACCATACCAAGTGGTTATCTCTCCTATATAATAGGAACTGAGAACAACACATCTTTCCTTGTCACAATTATATTTAATGAAGGTACTAGTTGTTATTTACAGAAGATATACATACATACAATTCCTGCACATTAAATTTAGCCTAATTGTGGAAACAGGAAAAAATGTACTCCAAAATTACATACTAAATAAATAAAAAGTAATTATTTGGCACAATATCTATATGTAGCAAATAAATAACTCTATACCATTGACTGAATGAACTATTTACAATCTATCTGAAAGTGCAAAACAATTGCTGAAAATTAAGGTATCTGTAATAACATTTAAGTCCAGAAAATATGTGGGTTTTTTAAATCAGTAACAATAATTAGCCAATAGTAAAGGTTTCTTAATGCCCAGGAAAATAATTTTGAAAAATTTTTTGTGCATATTGTGCTATTCTGAAATGTCTTTTTTTTTAAATCTTAACGCTGGCAATTTTAAGAACCTTGGAGTTTCCCAGTGGAATTCTTATATATGCAATCCTGATTTGTAAATTTTAAAAAGTCATATTGTAAACATAAATATTATTCTATAAGTCATTCAGAAATTACAGACCAGTCTTCCCTAAAGTTACATAAATAGCCAGAATGTTTTATATTAATGTGGTCAGGTGCAATTCCTTCAGAGGTAAGACTATGAAGATGGAAGAATATAGCCTCTAGTTTGGAGTTACATGGATTCCTCAACACCTCCCAAAAACCCCATGCTCAAGTCAAGATGTTGAGTTAGAAATTATGAAACTATACCACCACTGATGTAGCCAAATAAATACCATTTGTAGCACATCTCATCCTGTAAATACTCCTAGAGAAAATATCAGGAGCTTGATACTTCTCTTGACAATGATATTTCTACCATACTCTTCACGTTGCTCTTATTTTATGTTTCAGCAAAGAAGATGGCACAACTGGAAATAAAATCAAGTGACTATGAACAGGGGATTTCTAAGTTAGAGTGTGCAAGCTGATGCAAGTCAAAGAATTTCTTCTCTTGTCATGATGCTGGTAAGCTGAATGCAGCCCTGAGATGTCTCAGGAGGGGTTTTTGCTTGTTTTATAGAATTCCCTAGTGACAATACAGTCAGGAGTAGCATGAATGGCATTTTTGAAAGGTTGTGGATGGAGGCAAACGTTGTTCGGGGCACTTGAAATGTCTATGGCCGACGAGGCTCTAGTCTGTGTGACATCTGTGATAAAGTTCTCTGGTTGTCTATCACATTTAATTGCCGTACATAACTCCGGACATCCTGATGGTTCTTATTAGCTTGAGCTGCATCAGGATCTATCGAAAGAGAAAAGAGCAGGATTGGCATTGCATAATATATGCATATAAGATACAGCTTTATTTTCTCTAATTTATTACATTTATCATGGATTCCTGGTTTCCATCAAGATCTTTCAACACACTATATTCCCTCCCACCCTTTTCTTCCCTGGAATCATGTATTTTGATCATTTTCCTTTGCATCAGATATTGTTTAAAAAAAAACACCAAATAAAAATGAAAGCATCACCTGACAATCCTGGTTATATATTAAAATTGTTTCCCCTTGCCATCCCCCAGAGTGTATCACTGTGATATCTGCTCCCTTTGACCCAGATGAGGACTAATGGCAAAAAGACATAGTTTTCATTAGCTTCTAACAAACGCACTTAACACCTGAGCTGAACTGAAGCAAGCTAGTGAGACTCTAAGTCTGACTGCCCTTAATACTTGCAGACAACATACAGCGTTACTGCATAGATTGTATGACTGTCCATACTCAGAAAAAAAATCAACTCAGGCTAAAGTCATTACTTCTACTAGACCTTCAATTCTCTGATGCTATTTGTTCTGAAATCCCAGCTACCATTCTAGTTTCATCCACTCCCCAAAGCATTTGAGCACCAGAGCGATCTGAAGTCAACTGATTTCCCTAAAACCAGGCTGAAAGAAGAATCAAATACCCAATCAGATGCCTATACAGGGAATAGACGTGAATGAGGAAGGTCGTTTGACCTCTGGTGAAATGGGAAAGATAGTTCCCTTCAGAAGTGACTATCCAGCTCCTGCATCCTGAGTTGGCGGATCTTCCTATTTTTCTAGAGAAATGAGAAATCTGGATTTCTTCCCTGGGAATTCTTCCATTTTTGAATGATTACATTATTTCAGAATAAAAGGGGGGAAAAAAGCTTCATTTAGATCCAACACCTCAGCCATGGTTCATGGGTGGCCTCTGCCCCATGGATGCCAATGTGGGACAGTAGGAGTGGCTGAGCCAGCCTGGACTCTGGACCAGCGTTCTTTCTGCTATAGCACATTGCCTTCTGCAATCCATCTGTTCTCCTTAGATCCACACACCACTCCTAAAGGCAATTAGAATGCCATCTGCATGGGGGGTGAAGGGGAGTGTTGCAGGTCTGAACAGAGAAAAGCAGAGAGAAGATACAAAGGCCCCACTTGCTCTAAGAAGAAACTCATCAGTATAATTATCACATATAAATAATACCACAGTGCTTAATTTCCTTGCTTGTCACTGGCAGTGTACTCTACATGTACAATATACTATAATTACATTGTACATATTCCCACAATGTTTATGAATCTATTCCTATAGCTTTATCTATAGATTGTTGACTTCAGAGCTGAGCAGCTGTTGTTTACTAGCAGTTACTGATAACTTCAACAAATGCAGTGGAGATATATATATATATATATATATATATATTCCCCCCACCCCATGTCTCTAGGAGATGTAGGAGAATGTAGGATTATACTTCCAAAGAAGCTTATAGAACAAAATATATTCTATCTTGGTTCTTGGACCTCATGGAGAACCTTCTCAAGGCTTTGAACCCTCTTAGGCATTTTGTGTTTAATTTCAGGAATTTCCTAGACCCCTCTGAAGGGCAGTGGATTCTAGGTTATGAACCCTTGTTGTAGTCATCACCTATATATTTTCATACTTGCTTGTATAACTGCTTTATGACCATGTATTTATACATACAGTACATTTCTAGATGAAGAAATATGAGACACTTTCATTTTGGCAGAATCCACATAAGAACAAGTGATGATGTACAAGCTGTTCTCATTTTGGAAGAAAGTGGAGACATAATCATTTGAATAAAATTTTTTTTTTAAGGATCTTGCTCCCTAAGACAAGACCCCCCCACCCCCCACCCCCAGGTATTAAAAAATAAATGTTTAGCAATTCTGGTATCCTGTGTTAGCAAACCCTTGTTTGGGGCCAGTCCTGTGCTAAGAAGAGCAAAGATAGCTCTGATGAATAAAATGAGAAACTTTAGTCTCTGTGCACTAGATTTATTGGAGGGGATGGTACTGGTAGCCTCGCAGTCATGTCCATGTCAGATTATCGTGTTAAATTAATGAGCCCAATGGCTTCAAGTGACTCATACAATGAAGTTAGCACAAAACTTTACAGGGGCCACCTTCTCACTCCCAGACCAGCTGGAGGGAGCCAAAGCTCCAAGCCCCACCCAAGGTCCCAGCCCTGAGGAAACAGTAGCACTGGCCCAGCACGATGATCTGGTGTGATGATGCCACTTAACTCCCAACAGTTTAAACTTGCTATTATTAGTGACAGTTTCATATTAAAGCATTTATTATACCAGCTATTGTGCTAAATGTGCAGATTTAAGAAAAGCACCTTAATTCACCTAGAAATACTAGAAATATAATATGAATTCCTGCTAAGGGACCTTTTACAAGTGTGCTTATACACATTCAGGCAGTCTCTCAATACCCCAAGAGACAATAAATATTATCCTTCCCAGTTTATAAATGACGGAATGAGTCATCATGATTTGATGTGAGTTTCTTAACATGAAGCAGTGAGTCATAAAGAGAGTTGGTTAGAGGCAGGATTTGTTGGCATTCATGCCTTAAGTTGTCTCTATCCATTCTGAAAAGAGCTAATGAACTTTCTGAGTTCATTCATAAAATAATATTCTTATGGTTATTTTCTAGTTTTACAGCTAGAAAATCTTTAAACACAAGGCCCTTGTCTGATGGGATTCACGATTCAAAGCGTCTCTGACACAATCAAATATTGTCCCGGCTTCAAGAATGTCTCTGTAGCCCCATTAAAAAGGACTTAATCACTAGGATCCATTTTGCGGCAGCATTTAACTTACTAAAGGGTTGGCTCCTGCAGTATCTCACTGTTCTGGCAGTATTTGCAATCATTCGCTAAAAAAAAAGAAAAAAAAAAACTGAAATTCAGGTAAGCTTAGTGTAGAATCCAAAAAACAAAAACAAACCACACCGTTACTTACTTTAGTGATACCTGGGACCATGAAAAATAGCAGGTTCTGATCTGTTGATTATCTGGAGGCAACTGGTTGATATATAAGCTTTTAATTACTTGACAGAGGCACCCCCTACCACCCACATACACATACAAGGTATTTGTTAGGTGAGGAATACTACTGGCATAACTCTAGTCTAATTGCTTATTCCTTAGAATATAAAAAGCAGGCTGTTGTTCCTGGGTCTGAACCTTATTTTTCAGGACCAGTTCTTACCATCCTCTCTTGAGGTCACTGTGAATTTGCAGGAGAATTTGTAGCTATTCTAGGTTTGGAGAGGGTTTAGCTTGTCAAGTTCCTCACTGTAAACAGTAATGAGATATTGGATGATGTTGACAGAATGGTCATAGATATTCTATCGCCACAGTTTTCTATACACTCAGCATTATTAGCCTTTTTCATCTTCCAGCAAAAGTGTGTGTTTTAACATTAACCTTAATTATGTGATTCCCTCCTTCTTCCCTCCTTCATCCTTTCTGATTATAACAGTAACACATGCACATTTTAGACAAATCACAAAATCTAGAAAATGTTGAGAACTAAGTAAAAAATCACACAGAACATTGCTTCAAAGAGTAACTTCAGCTATATTTTGGTACATTCCCTTCTAATATTTTTAAAATACATATATATAAGCATTTTTTTTCAAAAAATGGAAGTCATATATATTTTTGTTTTGATTTGAATTATTTCACATGGCATTATGACTTTTCCATGCCATCTGCACTTTAAAATCTTTTTTTAAAATAACCAGTATTCAGTCATGTGGATGGATCATAATTTATTTAACCTTTGTTAATTTTGTCATTAAGTAATCCTAATTCCTAAATTTCGGCTACCATAAAAACTTACAAGGAAACCTTTTGAACTGCACTTAAATGAGTTAAAAGACAAAGAAAGGAGGAAAGAAATGGACAGAAACATGAGGAAAAACATGAGGCGGAAGCACTGTTTCTGAGCTACTGTTTCTTGCTCCTGCCATTTTGAAGGTAACTGGGACCCCCAGCCTCTGTGAAACATCTCAGGATACTTGTTCTCAAGGTTGTCCCTCAGAGATGGTGGTTAACTCTAACACAAGCAGAAAATTGATAAGGTTCTGGCCAGGAAAAGAGACTTCCTAATCTCTGAGTGGCTATTTAACTCCAGTCCTTGCTTGCTTCTCTCATTGACTGTCAGCTTGCCAAAATTAGGAGATGACTCTGAGAAAACTGACACAGTGTTAAAAAAATAAACTTATTTGGGAGGGAATTTTTCTCATAGAAGAGTTGAAGCTTTACAAGTACACACAGGTGAACATTCATAATGCCTCGCTGAATATTACTGCTTTGAGGACTCTGGCAAGCATGAAGGGACATGTGTCTGCAGTGGGTAATTTCTCATGCACAAAGAAGCAATCGGAAAAGTTTGAACTTCACTTTCATAAAGGATCCTGAAAACCAGCACATCCATTGATCAGCATGAGAAATATATTACAAATACCTCCAAGAAAATGTAACATACAGTGTATAATTAGCCTCTGATATATGGAGCCCTGAAATAAACAGTTAACTATGATAATTTTCCTGCTAATTTACTTTAAGTTGTTTTTTCACTTCTCCAAAGGCTTTGCATCCGAAGGGCACAAGTATACTCCATGTAGAATTATTGTAATTCTTCAGATATTGAATGGAATGTAATTACTGAGAACCCTGGGAAATGCTGCCAGTATGCCCCTCTGAAGAATAATAAAACAATTAGCAGGGGTCAGAAACCTCTTCCTATACCATTTTGTAGGGAGTAATTGTTCTGCTTTTTAGTTTTGAAAGCTAAAACATTTCATTCTGACTTTGGTTTTAAGACTCCTCTTTACAGCTATACTCTGAGGCTTCATAATTTTTAGCTCATTATGTAGTTTAAAATGTGAGAACAATTGTTTAAATCAGTAATTTCCAGCTCTGGAGTTCATTCTAACCTTTCTAAATCTTTGATTAATTTTAACAATGGTTTTAATTTTGACGTATCCCTTTTAATTGTACTCAAAGATAACTTCAGTTTAACTTTGCAATCCAAATCTGGCTTTGCAATGAGGCCCATTCTTTCTCTTTGAGATGGCTGCACAATAATGTTAGAAAATGTAACATTAGCAGTAGCAGTGCCGGGACTCCACTACCACTGCTGGTCAGTGCAGTTACAGGATGCTTTCTCAAGGCCAAAGAAGAGTTAACTGGATATTTTTAACCCGACCCTCCTTTGCACCCACTGACCCATGCAATGCAATATTTAATATGCTACAGGTGCTTTCCTGGGTTTGCAGGAGAGTTCAGAAGTTCCCTTGTTTAACTGTCTCCAGGGGCATAATGCCATCAAAGCTTGCCTGCAGATACGGGCTCCTCACTGTTTGAATGCATCCAGCAACAAGGAACTCAATTACCTCCAAGGACAACCCCTTGCATTCTTCAACATTTATGACTACTAGACATTTCTTTATCATTTTGAGTCCAAGTGTTTGCACCTTTGTTTTTCACCCCATTTATCCTAGCATCCTATCTCTGAGCTCTTAAGCCACAACAAACATGTTTAGTTCCTTTAGGACAGTTCTTCAAATACTTGAAGATAGCTATCATGGACATCTCTTCACCGCCACATCTATTCTGGTTCAGCCTAAATATCCCTATTTGCTTCAACAATTCCTCATAAGTTTCAGGTCTCTTCTAGACAGTCCTCTAGATTGAAGTCCACAATTTTAAAAAAGCCACATTGCTGATATTTGAACTTCTAGTGAATTAAACCTCTCAGCCCTCTTCACTGAACTTTCTTCTTTGTAGATGTGCAGATGGTTTCATGGACCAACGTGGAGAATTTTACATTTATCACCACTAAAAGCCATCCAGTTAGTTTTTCTATCTTTCTGCAGACTTAAGTCTTGTGTGTGATTTTTGACAGCAGGTGATTGTTTATTCATTGCTATTCTCAGTGAAAGTTGGCAAAAACTAAGGTTAAAAGATACAGGTTTTATTATCCAACTGCCACAGCAGGGATGAAGCCAAAAATTATACCCTAGGCTTTGGGGCCCTGCTGGAGCAGGTTGGCCTGCCTGGAGCAGGCCAGGCAACTTTCTTCCAATGCCAGCCAGTGGGAAAATACCTGATCACTCCAAAGCAGAGCTTCTCATCTTTTTTTGTTTTTCCCATCCCAGCAAACCCAGGGTTATGATATATTCCTATTAGCAACTGGCTTGTTAAAACAGTGATTTGTAATTCAGGGACAAAATGAGGAGAACGTGCTCCTGTAGAAGGGACCTGTATCAGAGCAGGTGGGCAGAACAAGTCCTTCTCTACACCTGCCCTGACTCTGATACAGCCCCACCCCCTAGTCCCACCTTAGGGTTCACTCATCAGCCTACCCCGGTGGATGCAAACCAAGAATGCCAGGCTTCCCCGTGGGAATCCACATTACAAATTTCCCAGGACCACCATTTTCCTTGGGACTAATTCGCAGTATGGGTCTTCAGAGCTTATTTGCAAGAAGTGTGTTCACACAATTCCTCACCTACAGGATGAGAGAAGGACCCAACTGAAAGCTGATGAATCTCCCTCAGGATGTGAACTCACATGGGGAAGCTCAGGAAGGAAAAATGAGGTAGCAAGCCAAGGTTTCTGTAACTACCCTCAGGTGTTTTTTTTTTCTTCTTCTTCTTCTTCTCAGTGTTTATTTTGAAGCAATTTCAAATTTTAAGAAAATTTGCAAGAGTAGTCCAAAGAACTCACATATAACCTAGTGAATGTGTCTTAACAAGACCAACCCTTTTAAGGGCACCTCCCAGGCTTTGGGCCTGTCCTATTGAGCAGGTCAGTGGGAGTCTGGTCTGGATAAAGGCGTAGACAGTGCATAGCCAGTGACCCTGTGTCAGGTATTTATTGATTATATTAAATATATTATTTATATAAATTATATAATATGTATGAAATATAATAACATTAGTATTATTTCTGTATCAAGCTGTAAACAGAGTGACCCAGAAGCACATGTCCTTCCTAGGGTCTGAGCTGCAGTGTGACCAGCACAAAGATGCCATCTAGCAAGGGAGTGACCAGTTGTGGGCAATTAAGCCTGGCCCATGTGAGAGGCCCTGAGGCTGTGCAAATCTCCCTCACGCTAGGAGGCAAGTCATTCCTTCCCCTTGAACCCAAGGAGAGGTCAGAGAGGGCTCTTCTCAGATGGGTCCTTGGGGTCTGGGCTTCCCCATCTACCTTCTCTGGGACCCTCCCCTCAGGGATGGGCTGGCCACCTTACACCTTCACGCCTATCCAGATGGCCAGCAGCCCACCAGGTCTCCCCAGCCATCTCCGGCTCTTCTGGCCAGCTCTGTACTGACTCCTGTGCCGGGTCTGAGCTCTCCCTTCACGCTCCTGTCCCTGGAGGGGAGCAGACTCCTATGTCTGTTTTTCAGGCTCCGGCCAGCAGGCCCTGCAGGCAGTAGTACCTGGCACTGTTCCTCTCCCGACCTCCTCCCCTTCATAGCAGTTGCCAGAATGCTCAGCCAAGCTCCCTCCCTGCTCCCTTGATTAGGTGCTCCTGCTGTCAGCGGTTTTTGTCTTTCCTTTTATTGCCCCTTGAGACCTCTGCCCTCCTTGTTCTTAAAGGTTTGCCAGACTGCTCTCTCCTTTCTTCTTTCTGCCCCTTCTGATTTGACTCTGCCCCTGTCCTGTCAGATACAGGACCTCAGTCAATTACTCCTAGCTTACCATGTGGAAAACCACATTCACACCATTCTGATTATTTCACTCAGATCCTCATATATTGGGACAGTAATTTTTTTCCACATGTATATGTAGAAGTATATCTGACTCTCACCTGCCAAGATTGTGCCCGTGACAGCAACCAAGTGGAATAAACGCATGC